CACCTATGTGTTTTTAAGACATTTAAAGAGGGAGCCTCAAAACAACTTTTTTCCCCTTCTTACATGCCATTAATTTTTTTTTTCATATTCAGGTGTTGACATTTTCATGTTGTCCAGGATGTTTTCCCATGAAAAGTGACACTCCACTCAACTCTGACTCCCCACCACTTGATTTTTAACACAATGCAAATTTTCTGGTTTTCAGCGGCTTTGTTAATGTTATCTTTGCCAGTGGGAAGTGGATTTGTATTCCATATGGATTATAAGTATACATTGATTTTGCATTTCTTTTATTAATGTCTACCTACATTTTCTTCTCTTTCTATTACAGCTTTTGAAATCACCATCGATCATCCTCATACACATGTTGTCAAATGCACTCAGCTTGTCAGGGGTGAGCATCATTTTTATGGTTTTGCTCAATTTTATCTTCAAGTTTTTGCTGTGTCTATAAATTTTTTTTCTCTTTGTTCTGCTGTTGTTCCAGCAAGCAAGGATTTGGCCCAAACATCATACTTTATGGCCACCAACAGGTATGCTCAGAGTTCACCCATAGTTCTCTCTCTCTCTCTGTCTCTCTCAAACATGCGCGCACACACACACACACACACAGGGTTGTGTCTTTCTTATGTGAATGCTAGGTATTCACCAAAGTTTGTGTGTGGTTTGTTAAAGCTCAATACACTGATTTTCTGTTTTCTCTTTCTCTGTTTGCTTTTTTTCTTGGACGTATCATGCCATATAGCCTGCACTTGACAACGTTCTGCCTGCAGTATAGTCCGCCTGTTGTAGCCTGTGTGTGCATCCACCTCGCCTGCAAATGGTCCAACTGGGAGATCCCCGTGTCTACAGATGGCAAACACTGGTGGGAGTATGTTGACCCTACAGTTACCCTCGAGCTGCTGGACGGTATGTGCAATAAATGCTCTTTAAGAAAAAAATGTTTAGATAATAAAAGGGCTGATTTGACTTGTTTGTTTTTTTTTTTCCTCCTCTTCCAGAACTTACACACGAGTTCCTGCAAATCCTGGAGAAAACACCCAGCCGACTGAAGCGAATTCGCAACTGGAAGGTACAACGCAAATTTAACTTCTCCTTTTTGCTATTAAAAATTCCCGATTCAATGTGGACATTGACTTAATTTTTTCTTCTTCCAGGCTGGCGGACAGACACCAAAAGCCAAGCCAAAAGTCCAGGAGGAGGGTGACCAGAGGGACACCATGATCAGCATGATTTCCATGGCTTCATCAGAGAGTACTGTGGCAGGCCTGATGAGCCTCTCTGCTCCACCTTCTGCCTCCTCTTCCTCATCAGTGGGCGACAAGGACACAAATGCTTCTGGCAGTGCTCAGACTTGGAGTGGTAAAGGTCAAGGTGGATCTGAGCAGCAGTCACAGCAACCACAGCAGCAGCCTAACCATGAGGTCCACGCCCCAGCTAAGGTGTCGCTGAGTGAGTACCGTGCCAAGAATGCTGACGTCCTGGCTGCCCAAAAGAGAAAGTTGGAGAACATGGAGGCCAGCGTAAAGAGAGATTATGCCAATGCAGCTCAGGCCCTCATTGGCCAGCAACAGAGGAAGGAGAAGCAGCAGCATCACCATCATCCACCCAGCGCTTCCTCTGACATGTCCAACCCATCACCCATTATTCTTAAAATCCCCTTGGAGAAGGAGAGGCATGACTCTCTAAAAATGCGCTTCCCAGTTGCTGGAGGATCAGGAGGAAGCAGTGGACACAGCAGCAGTGGTCGAGGCCAGGATCCAGACATCAAAGTCAAAATCCGAGTGCCTGACAAGCAGAGGGGGACTTCAGGAGAGGATGGCAAAAGCAGGGACAAGCACAGGGAGCGTTCTAACCACCACCACCATTATCATCACCACTCTCACCACCACCATTCCTCTTCCAGTAGTGCCTCACTTTCTTCTTCACACAAACATTCATCTAGTTCCAGCGGCACGCTGGGAAGCAGCAAAAAAGTACCAAGTGACTCCTCTAGAACAAGCTCCTCGTCCTCGTCCTCATCCTCGTCTGCCTCACGCAAGAGGACACACTCCCAGGATCCTTCAGCAGGATCTCACCCACCCTCCAAAGTGAGCAAGTCTAGGAATCCCTACCAGTTACCTCCCCTGTCTTCCTCCTCCGGACAAATTTTGGGGCACGGTTCTGACATTCTTCCGTCTCTGGGACTCCCCCACCACCAAGGAAGCTATTCGCATTCCAAAAGCGACAAAACTGACACTAATGGTCACAGTTCAGCTGGTGGAGCCCAGTCCAACGAGTACCAGGACACTTTTGAGATGCTAAACTCACTGCTGAGTGCACAGGGTGTGCAGCCGTCCCAGCAGTCTATGTTTGACTACAGATCTCAGTATGGTGATTATCGGTACTCGAGCAGCTCCAGAGGAAACAACCCTAGGCCCCCTCCCCTGCCCACGGAGCCGCCTCCCCCACTGCCGCCTTTGCCCAAATAAGTTTCTAATCAGGAAACCACATTATGTACATTTTACTTGACATCTTGATCATCTTGTTACATAAAGTGTTGTATGATATTTTCCAGCCACCCAACATTTTATAGTCTTCAGTGTGACAGCAGAGAAATGTACTGGGGGTAACAAAGGATTTTATGGCGTACTCGTGGGGCAATAATGGGACTTGCAAAATGTGAGACAAGAAGAATCATGGGAAAGTGTAGATAGTGTTTTGTTTTTTCTTTTTGAAAAATTCAAATGATATGTGACAAGAAGACGGGAATTAGAGGATGTCAATGTGTTTGGAAAAATTTCCATGACATACCTGGTTGGTCTTCTTACTGATTCTTTTTATAATGTTTTTATAGGGTGTTATTTATTGATCAAATGATTTTAAAAAAGAAAAAATGTCCCCTTTTTCTACCTTTTTTTAGGGTTAAACCTCTGTTCTTTTGGAACAGATGGTCATTTCTTTAAGACTGTACAGCCTAGTTAGAGTGCATGTCTCCAAAGCCATCTTTTCGATATATTTTTTACTTTATTTTATTTTTCCCATTTTTATTTTTTCTGTGAGCCATAAAAATGGCTTCATCCCTCATGTATATGTTATATTTGCTGTGCTATTTGGTGATTTGAGGAAAAAAATGTAAAAAAAAAAATGTTTAAAACAAACATTGGAACCTTTATATTTGCAAATTTGCAAAAAAAAAAGGATGTAAATTAGGAAAAGCTTGTACTTTTCACTTTAAGTTTTTAAGTCTTGCAGTCATTGTTTTAAATGGTTGTAAAATATTCATATTTGGTTCTTGAATGGATACACTAAGTTCATAGCAAGAACATTCATCTGTTCACAAACGGTTGAAACATCTGTGCGCTTTGGTCACAATGAAGGAAATTCAACAAAAAGAGCATCTATCTAGACTATTTCTCTTTCCTTATTGTTTTTCCTCAGGAGTTCATTTTTTTGGGGTGATCACAGGTAAATGCAAAGACAAAGAAATAAGCATCATATATGGAAATGTATAATTTTCAGAAGACAGGAAAAACTTTTTCCCAGATTTGCTAGACCCTAATAAGCACAGTATACAGAGTTTTAACACAGTATAAAAGTTAATAGCTCATCTGTTTTTATCTAATTGTGGGGATGTTTTAAAAGTGTAAACCCTAGTGTAGCTGTCACTTCACTCTGGTCTGATTTAATCATGTTAAACTTGTATTTCGAGTGCATTCCTCTAAACTAAATTGGTGGATATTTAACTTTCGTTTGTTTTATTATCTGCCCACATGCCATCATTCATCATAAAAACATGTTTGCATGTTTTCTGTGGTTGTACAGAATCATATGTGACCAGCAGGTTATTTATATACCTCCACTTTTTAAGCATGAAGGCCAATACCCAGATTTTGTTGGCAAGATAAGCAGGTTATTGCCTATTCATAAAACTTAATTGTTTAGGATTAGTGCTCTTATTTTACAGTAATGTAGCACAGCAAATCAGCCGTCCAGCTGTATATTTTACCCCCTTCATATATTTGAAAATGTGCTTGAAAAGAGAAGCTTCTTGCTCATGCAGCAGAGGTTTTATTATTCTTGGTTGTAACAGGGAAACAGTAAATGCACTGAATATTTATCTCAGTAGGTTTGCCTACAATGCAATTGACAAAGTGTTACGTGTATAATGGTTAGACTAATAGATTTTCTGGTGTGAAATTGCCACTGTTTTTGAAACATTTTGTTTAATCTGGGAAAAGCTTCCATTTTAAGTATTACCATTTTGTTGTGAACAAGCCACAAAAAGGACACATTTCATATTAAAACCCATATGTAAGAAAAAACGGACGACACTCATGCAACCTAACAATGCAAAAATCATATAGCTACAATAAATTTCATGTGTTTTCATGTCTTGGTGTTTTCAGTGACACTCAGGTCTGAAAAAGAAAAAGTTTTGAGATTTTTTTTCCCCATTTAAAATATGTGAACACTGTTCTTTTTTTTGATATAATGTGGTTGCTTTATTCTCAAAGTCAATAAAAAATATTTTAAGAAAGTGCTGCTTTTGGCTCATCAATAACATTGCATTTTATAGGTGAATCAATCTATGCCAGGGGTGTCAAATGCGGTCTAGGAGCTTGATCTGCCCTGAAAGAAGATCCAGTTTTACCCATTATATTTTGCAAAAAAAATATGTTTGAGGGGTAATACAGGCATTGTAGAGCAACTGATGGAATTGCACTTACTCTACTTGATATATCATCATTTGTAAATGCATGGTGTGTCAAAGTTTTACATTTGAATGTTTTCAAAATATACTGTTCTTTTCTTCTATTTTTAAAAGATAGGGGGTATTATCCAGTGGTATTGTAAGTGTAGCCCTCTTGAGGTCAAGTTGTGTTCTAAAGAGTTCGAGGCCCTGGTCTATAATAAAAGTGTAAATACATTGGGTGGATGCCACTTTGAATGGCAACTAGATTGGCCAATGGGCTACCTCACTCCGGCGCTCTGGCTAATCGGATCTCTAGGTGGGCGGGGTTACTTATTGTAAGCGGCGGCTGTGGCAGTTAACAGGGAATGCAGGAAAATCGACGTACCAGTGTTCTTCGGGAGCTCACGCCAGCTCGGATGTCCGAGACAAAGGTAGGGGGCCGCAAATAGAAATTAGCGATATGTTCATATTCTGGCATACAATCACGTTGGCGTTATGGAGGGATACGGCAATTTTGTGGCACCGACTTGCTATCTTCGCTGCAAAATGAGAAAATTAGCATTTAGCTGCCGTTAGCAGCGATTGATCAAAGATGGCGACTGCCGTCTTAACTGTTAAAGTGACGCAGTAAGGAGAGGCGGGCTGAAGCTCGGTGTGGCGCCCGGTTAGAGTTTATCCATTAACGCAGAGAGGAGTTTGTCTCCTCGATTTATATTTGAATTAAAAAAAAATGCCATTCTCTCTTACATTAATGCGGCCTTTATTACTCTTTGTTACTTATTACAATTGCCTTTAGGTTGTATGCGTAACATTTATAAGCTTTTACTGATGTTAATAACGACCATCTGACATCGCCCGTCAGTAAACCAATAACATGAAAACATTGTTTTAGTTTTATACAGCTTTATTTAGATTTAAGTACTCATAGTGATTTGGTCAATGACACCTTATGTGCATATTTTCAATATGCTTTTTTTTCTATTTTGGTTATATTTGGGATCAAAAGGCGAAAAACCACGAGTATCTATCCTGCCCATTTAAGTACAGTGTAATTGTTCAGAAAACCATTTTAAACCTTTCTGACACGGTATGTTATCCTGCTGGAAGCCGCCATCAGAAGATGAGTGTTCTGGTCATAAAGGGTTGAACATTGTCAGAATCGGGTATGCTGTGGGATTTTAACAAAGTGTGGGTAGAACGACCATTACACCGACACCACCAGCCTGAACTGGTCATACAACATAGGATGGAGCTTCATGTTGTTTACATCAGATCCTGGCCTTTCAGTATATATTAAATTGACCAGACATTGCTTTTCCAATCCCTTCCTGCTCGCTTTAGCTTACAGGAGTATCATCGTCCAGTCTTCTGCTACTATAGCCCATCTGGTTTAAGATTTCACGTGCTGTGGTCTTCTGCATACCTTGATTAAACAAGCGGTTATCTGAGTTTCTGTTGCCTTCCTATCGGCTCAGTGCAGTATAGCCTCTTCTAATTTCTTTCTATTGACATGTTGCTGCTCACTAGACGTTTTCTCTTTTTCATACTGTTCTCTATAAACCCTAGAGTTGGATCTGTGTGACCCATCTTTGATCTCTAGATCAGCAGTTTCTGAAATACCAGCCTGTTGGTCACCAAAGTTAGTAGTTTGAATGAAAATACATTAAAGAAGCCAACATTATTCCAACATTCAAACAAATGTTTTTATAGGAATTCTTGCTGTTATTCATGCATGCAGCCATACAAACATTTGGTGTGAACAGGAAAAATGTATTATTATTATTATTTTTTTGTTATTACATTTAATGCAGGCTTGAAATGAACAGGATACGGATTCATGTTTTGCCCTCAAGTCGGAACCGGGTGACCCAGACACCCCGACCTCAGGAGCCACAGGCCTGCTCCTTCACCCAGCGGCCCTGCTCTCAGCCACGACTCGAAGGCTTGGAATTCTGCATCAAACACATCTTGGAGGACAAGAATGCGCCTTACAAACAGTGCAGCTACGTCTCTGCCAAGAACGGGAAGCGGTGTCCCAATGCCGCACCAAAGGCAGAGAGGAAAGACGGGTAGGTGGAAGGTCTAAATCAGCCATTAACAATCGATAAAAACAAATTTAATCTCATCATTATCTGCTGTGAATCTCATTAATGGGAACTTAATCCCAAGAGAAGGGGGAATGTAAATAAACTCATCAGTACCATGCAGCCTCCTAATTTCAATTTGAATGTCTGTTCTGTAGAGTGACCTTCTGTGCGGAGCACGCTCGCAGGAATGCCATGGCTCTTCGAGCTCAAATGAGAAAGGCGTCTTCTGGTCCGTCACCGGAGGCCCTGCTGTCTCAACTTAGTGGGTACAGCCGAGCAGAGTCACACAGCCTTGATGGAGGACGCTCTGAAGCCAGCCGCATTCTAGGTAATGGCCACTTTTTGACTTGGAAATAGTAATTTGGGTGCATGTGGGTTAAGCTGATGTAGTTGTACAGACTGTTTGTTGTTTTATTTGTTGGGTTATTTGGTACACTTGTGAAAAGATTAAAAAGTTTATAGCTTTCATTCATTAGTTGTAGAGCAGGGCAATATGACCAAAAATATTTATCACGATATACATTTGAAAATTTGCGATAACGATATAACTGACGATATAATTGACACTAGACAAAATACTTTACAACGCCACAACTTTATTAGTGCAAAAAAACCACAAAACATCAATGTATTTTCACTTAAACAAGCAGCTGTTTTTTATCTGCATTAAAGTTATATAAAAATTTAACAGTGCAAATGCAAATTCCTTGCTGACAGTTTAACCAAAAGGTATTTCCAGTGGAAACTGAGCAACATATCCTCAGCATAACCAATATCCACAAAAGTTAAAAAGAGGTTATACACACACAATACGGTAATATTATGTTGAAGCACCATACGTATCACTCCGCGAGGCTCCTGCTTTCGATAGCCGTAATGCTCCGACAATCCATCAAGCGGTGCGGCTTCCTAGCCTAGCAAAGTCATACTAAAACATTTGACAGATTTCCAAGCGCCGTGTACATAAAATCGTTTCGAGGTCAGTAAACACAACCCGAATTCATACATAAGGCACACGGGATTGTAAGGGCACTGTTGATTTTCAGAAAAGTCAAAGGATTGATTTTAAGTGTGCCGTATTTTCCAAAAAACACGGTAATAACGACGGCCCGCTAGCATGCTCTACCAAAAGTCAGATAAAAATACCACTAATTCCTCCCTCTTCCTAGATGAGGACAGTCTGAGTGAGGAAGAGCAGGGGCCGTTGGTATTGGACCAGACGTGGAGAGGAGATCCGGACAGCGAGGCTGACAGCATCGATAGTGATCACGAGGATCCTCTGAAGTAAGCTCTTAAGATTTTCTTCTCAACCCACATTGTGTAGTTATGTAGTTTGAATAAGAATCTGTAGTACAAGATAGAAGGCTTAGGCCATGTCCAGACTTGAAAATGCATCTTTTTTTCCCCCCTTTTGGCCTTCCGTCCACACTGAGACGGCGTTTTTGGTTTGAAAGCACTCTCCAAAGTGGATAAATTTGAAAACGCTGCATGTGCCTCGCTGTGTGGACAGCGAAAAAGGAGGATTTCGAAAACAAGGATGCATTTTAGTCATATGATGCAGTCACGTGACCAGTTCAACTAAGATGGCGGATGACATTGTGCAGCAGTTGTTTTGTTAGCTCTCAATTTTGACAGCCCTATTAAAGATTAATATCAGTCTGTACATGCTTCAGATAAAACTCGACACCTTTCCTCAACATTTTGCTGCGACTTTTCAAAGAGCCGGAAAATAAATAAATGGCAGACGGAAGTGAAGCAGTTCAATCGTCTTACTGTATTTTCACGACTATAAGGCGCACATAAGTCTTAGATTTTCTTCAAAATGTGCGGCACGCCCTATAGTGCAGTGCGCCCTGTGTGTGTTGTTGTTGTAAGGGGGACGTAGTAGAGAACACCATGAGAACGTTAAAGGGGGAAGTGTGGGCATAGATTGTATATAAAACCCGCGCCCTATAATCAGGTGCGCCTTATGTGTGTGTTAAATACAGTAATGGCACACATAACTGAGACTGCGCCTTTTAGTACGGTGCGTCTTATGGTCGTGAAAATACGGTACTTTTCACGCATGCGCAGTATAGGAACGTAGTGTTGTCAGTGTGGATGAAAACGGTGGTGTGGACGCGCAGCATTTTTAGACAAAAACGCGTTTTTCAATTTATGGGGATTAGTGCAGACGTAGCCTTAGCTCTTATCTGAATTAAAAAGCAGTTTCACTGGAATGTGAGCTACAGAGTTAAGTGTAATCACTTTAAGAAAATATGGAGTGCTTTGTAGCCTTTTATTTTAAAGATGTTCCCCAGGCTTCCGGTATTGGACATGCTAAAGAACAGGTTGTGGCAGCTTGAAGTAAAGCACGAGTTTAAGATTTCACTTCAGGCAATATGAAGTGAAGTAAAGCATACACAGCATAGACATATGTCATTTTGTAATGATCGAAAGCCTTGAATTGGTATCTTTTAAACTGGGGCGTCGAGCTCATTTTTGTTTACTTCAAAGCACAACTATGAACAAGGGTTGGTAACTGGCAATTATTGTGCAGCACATCAATTTCATGCTTTGTTTTTGAATTATAAGTCATCCCTGTCGAATTGAAATGAATAAATGTCTTGTGGGTTCGAAGTGTTGTTTGTTGAAAATTTTGAATTTTCTACAATTTTCACACACCTAGTAAGGGGCAAGTTCTGCCCCCCCAGCCAAATATTTGCCAACCCTATATAAATAATGATTAAATTAGTTGGTTTTCTTTGATATAACATAATAATTCTGAACAGAGTTTGATTTGCTTTTGCTTTTTACATTCTTTTTGCTAAAAACGTTGACAGAAAATGTAAAAAAAGTAAGTAGTTAATATGCAAACCTACAAAGGCTCGAATCGTGTTTATTGACAAGCTGTTAGTGATGACTCTGACTTAATAACTTAATACCTCTGACTTAATACCTGAGCTCATCATCCAGTGGCACAACATAATGTTCTATGTTGATTTAAGAATTACTTATCTTAGTCTTAAATTGTTAGATACTGAGTAGTTTAATGTTTTGAAACTCAATGGACGTTAGATTTTCAATGCTATGTGTTGGCAGACACGCAGGAGTGTACACTGCAGAAGAAGTGGCGCTAATCACTCGAGAAAAACTTATCAGACTCCAGTCCCTCTATATTGATCAGTTCAAACGCCTGCAGCACCTGCTGAAAGAGAAGAAGCGCAGATACCTGCACAACCGCAAAATGGAGCATGAAGCTATAGGTAATCGTAGGACAAATTTATGGTTTTACTGCTCACTCCTCTTAATTCTGAGTGACACAAACCTTTTAATGTTGATTACAGGTACCAGCCTCCTGACAGGGCCTGAAGGCCTTTCCATGAAGGAGAGGGAGAACCTGAAGAAGCTTAAAGCTCTGCGTCGCTACCGCCGCCGGTACGGGGTGGAGGCCCTGCTGCACCGGCAGCTGAGGGAAAGGAGGCAGGCTGTGACAGAAGGAGGCCCTCAGGTGCTAACTTGAATTGATACTGAGTTTAAAGAAATCTGTACATTTTCTTTACTTACCGTATTTTCACAACCATAAGGCGCACTGTGCTAAAAGGCGCAGTCTCAGTTATGTGTGCCCTTACTGTATTTA